AATGACGGCCACGACACAGTCAGTACAAGGGACGCTACTTGGACAAGGATCTTCCCATGGCCCTGAGACCTAAGTTGAGTCGTGCATGACACGGAACATGTGTCTCATGACCTTCCGTAAATTTTACAAAAAGTCAGATAATTCTGTCCTCATTTTCCATTCTACGCCAGTATAGAGGACAATTTTACATACAAATGGCCAAACACTCAGATGAATTTGTCTCTCAAACGTGTGTGGGGTGGGGGGGGGGGATCCGCCGACAGCAACTCGTCCTTGTCACTCACGAACGACTTCCTGCTGTTACGTGACGTCACACTACCTGGAGGACGTGATAGATATACCCAGTGGAGGGCGTGATAGATAACGCTATATACTGTATATATCCTGCATGGAGGCATCTAACCTGTGTACTAGACTGAGTGGGATGGTGACTTTGTATTTTTCGTGTTATTCACCATTCATCAGTTTATTTGTCATTCGGACAGTTGGTCTGGTCTTGTTACGATCTTCACTGCCCAGTATTACTAAAGGAAGAAACTATAGCACCTGTAGAAAACCTGCCTTGTTTGATGGTGTCACACTAGAAATCACCTTTCTCACTGCCGCTATACCACCAACACGAGAGAACACAAGTACAAGCTCGCCAAGGTGTCATACAGGACGAATGTAAAGAGATACTTCACACAATGCACGGTAGACCTATCGAACCATCTGTTAATTTCTACTCAATGTGGAAGCAAGAATAGTGCTAGGTTTTAAAATGTCCCTGGATAAGACAATCGAGAACAATGGAGTGATCCTACACAGGCCTCATTCTTTCGGCATGGCCAACTCTAGTTGGGGTGGCCATTAAGCAAATATATTAAGAGTTTTGCATCCAGGAATGTCATCTTGATCTACTTCATGTTTGTCCAAACATCTTTCAGGTAACTCGCTTGGAGCTGTGACCACTTACTCTGGACAGTAATTCCTTACGTCCATTATACGGTGTAAGATGTTCTACGTCAGCTTGGTGTGTACTGCTGGTGGTGGTGTGCCGTCTCAGGCTCGGATATGTTTATCATAGTTATCTCTCACATTTAGTTGTGATCACGAGAATCTTATATAGCTGGTAATTTATCGCCATTAGTGTAAGATGCATAGCGTATTTTGAAAATACTTATTTACCAAAACCTTGAAAATTTTCACTTTATTAACGACTTGTGGTATCGTGACACTGATGGCATTCTGAATGTCATCTGCCGTCACATTCATGACAGTGAGGTAAGGCAGGTGAGGCACCACTGTATAAGGCAGAGCAGTGTGGGCAATATCTGCACATCACCACTTGTGTGTCATCAAGGTAATTAACCTTAAAGGTTCATAGTGAGTTGGTTTTTATATAGCCAAGCAGTGTTCTATTGTTTCTGGGCTTAACATTTGTGTACACAATAAGATGCTTTAACATTTTTTACTCAAAGGTTAATTTTTTTTATTGTAAGATATTTTTTATCTGAAATTATATTATAAAACAAAAAAGTTTGTGATCTATCCTTTACTATAGCTTTGGTCTTATTGTTCTTTAGATATACAGTATTGCATAATACCAATGTATCCAATTATATCTCTAACGTTTGGCTACAGGCACGTGACGTCAGTGGGTGTTGGTTGATCTATACAGCTGTGGACGCGCCCGTGTGTTTACTCAGGTGTAAATAATGTCAGGTGGCAGCCTCACCACACCACCACTGGTAACGTTGACTGATATCCTTTCTGCAAACTACTAACTTTAACTTCCAAGCATGAATTATTATTGCTAGTACAGTTCATGGCGGTGTAATTAAAACAACATGCCATAATAATCCAGTCACTCAAAATCCATATCAGCGGCTTTAATAATTTATGACAGTATACGACATGAAGCCACCAGACTCAACTCAGTCACATACTGTAATAAGCTTTGATAATTAGTAAGTAAAATTAAGTTGTTTATGATTGGCTCTGACCTGTAATGGCTCAAATGGTGTGTGTAGTAGTCTCGTAGCCTCCCACACCTGAGGCTCGTAAACATGGACGCATTTTCCTAAGTTTACCGTCATTTTAGATATACCGCATTATTTCATTTCATTAACTCAAAGGATTTTATGTTATACTTAGGTAAAATGTTTCTATAGTCTCACCTGTAGTGTGTTGTACTAAAATGCAACATAACTGAAAATCATAATTATAGTGTGTGTGTGTGTGTGTGTGTGTGTGTGTGTGTGTGTGTGTGTGTGTGTGTGTCCATTACACGCTTGTCCCCCACCTGTAGAGCGAGGGTTGCTAACTTTTCACTTGTTTCTAATTATTTTTATGATGTGAACACTGAAAGTGGGTCCCATAGTCATGACGGCGTTAGGGTCAGTGTGCTTACAGTATATTAACCCTTCCGTACACAAGGCTAACTGCTCTTCACAGCCTTCACTGTAACGTTACAGCTGGGTGCACAGGGATGAAACCAGCGACCTTTAGGACAGGAGATGAACGCTGTATGCACTCGGCCGCCGCACCCGTTTAGTGATAAATAAAATTCCTTCGTGAGACGTCAATAAACAGCAGACGTTGATAATGTGCATAAGAACTACACCTCCGCTCACTCCACGACTATGACCAACAGTGTTCAGTAACTAACTTTATATTCTCTCTGACCAACACTTAAGGTAAATTAATGTTTTGTACAGTGAACCCGGAAGTGTGCAGCCAACAGTGCAACTATCCAACTCGTGTGGGATTTTCTGTGTCTCAACCCTCTGATGTTACGGCACGCGTGGTGTAGTGAGGTGTAGAGAGGTGTTGAGTGTAGTCGTGTTTCCACTCCCAGGACCAATGTGTATCAACCCCCCCTCCCTCCCTTAACCACACGCACTTCCGCCCACACTGACACCCTCCACCACCCACACTGACACTCCACCACCTACACCCTCCACCCTACACCACGACACCACCACACACACTGACATCCTCCAACACCCACAAACACATCCGCCACGCCCATGTTTCCTCCTATTCATAAAGGCAATAGAGAGGTGTGTGTGTGTGTGTGTGTGTGTGTAGCGTGACGATAAACTTGCGTGTACAGTGTATGGTCATCACCTTGGTTGCCACACAGGAAGCCATAAAGGCAGGCAGGAAGGTGTGTCGTCAGGCCCACCTTGTAGTTCACCTCCCGCGTCCTACTCTGCCACACCTAATATTTCCCACCTTATGTCTTGACCTTCAATTCATTATTTTACTCTTTATCAGCTTATTAGACGTTCGGGCGGTTGGTCTGTTCTTTGGTATGAACTTTATTGTCCAGTGTTAGTACAGGAGGAAGATGTAATACAGTGAATAACAACCCCTTCCATGTGTGTCTCGGGCCCGGACATACGAGAGAAATCCATGCGTTCCCGCTGTACCACCAACACTCCCATGACCTTTGAACTCTCTTACGAGTGTCTTCCTCTGGCCTCATACAACATACATGTGAAATGGTCAGAACAGGATCGACATATTGGATGTGACTCGAGATTCAGCATGGCAGCCCTTTAAGTTACCTGTCCGGGAACTTCGAGCAAGGTTTCACCCCTCGAGTGCTTTAACACCATCACCACGACACAGTGATGGAAGCAGTGTGGTAATACCTAGGTGATAATAACACACAACACAGATGGATAAGACCGTCGAGGTTTAGGAGAAACATACACTAATGACAACCCAGGAATAACAGGGATAAATGTATGGTACACCATGAATGAATGAATGGATGTATAATAAGACCGGCAACCAGCCATGGACACCGCGAACACTGCCTCCCGAGAAGAACCTAACTGTTTTCATTCATTCTGAAGTCGCCTCCTCAGCTGAGCGTCCAGTCACACACACATTGTATAATACTCATCCATCTATGTTCTAATGTGTTGTTAATGACTGTAGATGTTATGAAAATGTTGCCCAGTAAATATAACTCCATCGTGAAACTGGGGAAAAAATATCAGAACTGCCGTGATGAGGAAACGTGATAGAACGCTGTAAGATGTAAAAGTGCGGGACATCTGCAGTATTTTAAAGCCCATTGACAGGCGTGTATGGAAACGTTCGGATCTTCGGTGACTTGTAGCAAGAAAACTCGACAATGGCGTAACATTCGTTGTCTTGGTAACTTAACACACTACAGCACAACACACAGTAAGATATTTAAGACTTTTGGAAGTTGATATCAGATCTTTCCCGAACACGACAAATGATATTGGGAAAAGTTCTCTCGTAATTCTGGAAGCGCTTAGTGGTCAGTTAACTTGACTTGGTATATCAGGTAAATAAACTAGTACAAAATTAGATGCAAGGTTAATACACGAGTGGCATGGGTTACGTAACGAATACCATTACACTGTGAATAAGTGATACAGGTGTGCATGTCATGGGTAGGGGGAGGAGCGATCAGTTACCATAACAACGTAACACTGTGGTGGGTGGCGCGGGAAGGTAGACAAGATGGAAGGCTCCTCTTTAAATAACTAGGGTCGGTGTGAAGTTATGTTGCCCCTCTCTGGTTCTGGTTGTAAATTTGCATCATCTGTTCCATTGTTCTGTATTTTTAGAATTAAATAGAGTTGTGTCCTTCAATTGTTGTGTGACAAACTGTTATGTAATTTACCGCTGCATGAAATTACGTAAATAAAAGTAAAGTTTATGAACAATTCGAGTTTTTTCCTATTATATCATGAAACTCGGAAGGAAGGTTTAGAGTGTGTTGGTGTAAAGAGGATGGTGTTTTCGTTACTGCACTCACTTTACACCTAACTAAATACGTTATGTAGAGAAACTTCACCGTCGCACACTGTCAGCTGCACACGATCTATCACACACTAATGTAAACATAAAGAGGAACATTGAGTGACTCAGTACGCGGCTGACTCCTCGTTTAAAGTAATGTTTCACTGGTGTATCCCGGTCCTTGTGTTGACCCCCGGTGCAGTACAGTGAATCATGGTAGTACGTACACCTACTGTCATGACTTGTGGGTCTATGGACGACATGGTGCCGTTACTGTTGTTGTACGTGACGCCGTCCGTCTTGTAGGTTGGAGTGAAAAGTTGAACACTCATGCACCACCAGCAGTCAGCCCGCCGTCAACAGGAGCTCTTCTTGTGTCCTGCTCGAGGCTCCTCCTCCTAGGGTCTTCGTCACTATTTCTGGCAACTTTTGACACTTGTATCACTCTGCCCTCACCGCGAGATGGGTAGGAGGGAATGGGTACAAGACTCAACAGAGACTGGGGTGCGGTGAGAGGGTAGGTAAGGGAGTTGTGGAGAGAGGGGAGGATAGGTAGGGTAAGCGGTCATGGGTAAGAGAGAGGGAGGGATCGTGTGTGTTCCCTCGAGCGGCTCACCGACCAATGAGCTCTGTGATAAACTTGACACCGTCCACAGGTGCGCTGGGGAGCTATGCAGGGCGGCGCCGCGCCCGTCTCCCTCACCTCACCTTTGTTATTTAATATACAATCAAAATATCTACCATTAAACATTATTATTATTTTCTTGTTACAGGCATAGTGGTGCTTTGTGTACACACTACCATCACCCTCACACGCGACCTTGGTGTACACTCCTGTTAATGCCACCATTATTTGTCTGTGATAACAAACATTTATTTATTCATAAATAATTGGTCTTATCTCAAATTTTAATATGAAATTTATGAAAATTTGTTTTTAGATTCTTGAAAATGAAATGACTGCACGATCACTTTCGGTTTAAATTCAAGGACAAGTTTAAGTAGCCAAGGTTGATTATTGTACTTTACGAGGTGACGATGTCCAGTACTGACGGCCCTGTGTTACACCCCTTCACCTACACCCATCACACCAACTACACCTACACCCCCTACCCACACCAACTACACCCACTCCCCCTAACCCTACACCCACACCTACATTCCCTACACATCCATACACCCACCCCCTCTACACTCACACCCCTACCCCTACACCCACACCCCCTACACATCCATACACCCACCCCCTCTACACTCACACCCCTACCCCTACACCCACACCCCCTACACATCCATACACCCACCCCCTCTACACTCACACCCCTACCCCTGCACCCACTACCCACCTCAATACACCCCATCACCTACACCTCCCAGTAATTTTATACCCTAGGACACAGAACGGACACACTTCGGATAAATACAAAATTAAAGATTGTTTTTTTCTCGTTAATGACAATGAGATCATCGATGACGAAATTTCCACAATGGCGCTATAATTTCTGTGACAAAGACATTCCCTTGAAGTTTGCCGAAGTCGAGGTCTTAACAACGGTATACTATGTTAGGTTCTTACCACGTCATCCAGGGTCATCTCAAGAGGAAAAAAATAGCCCTGGTATCTTTTCCTCTTATTGTTCCTGCAGTGGTTCCTTAAAACAACTTGTGTGGCGTTGATTTTGTTTCGTGTTGGCAAGAGGTAGTGAGTTGTGGGATAGTGCAGCTTCTTGATATGTATTCCCTTGTTCCTTCAGGGTAAAGAGGAGGGAGTTCAAGAGCCAGATTATTATTTTTATTATTATTATTATGTATTAGGATATTTAATTTTAAGGTAATAAAATGGCGGCGAAGGTGTGGCTATTGGGGGAGGATGGAGGCCATTTAAATAGTAGTAGTAGTAGTAGTAATTTTAGATCATTTCCTCCTGTAGGTGCGACCATCTCTCCTCTCTCCAGGCCCTTGTTCCCCTCACTCCTAACAGAGCCTGACCTTCCCCCTCTCCTCCTTAAAGGTCATTCTTCTCTTGGTGTTCTCCTCTTCTTGCTTCCTACCTCTCGTGTGTAGTTCCCCTCTTGTTCCTCTCGTCTGTACAGTTGTTCCTCTCTTTCAGTATTTCCCCCTTAAGTTTCTTCGTCTTATTTATCTTTATTTACTATCTCCATTCTTTGTATACTTTTTAATATTTACTAGTTCATATCCTCTCTCTCTCTCTCTCTCTCTACTTTCCCCTAATCTCGCAGTGCCTGGCCTCCCCCCGCCCCCAGGTCTCGGCTCCCGAACCCCTACGCAGCTCTCATTGATTCTCTCAGCACAGGTGAGTATTGCTCGAGTAATCAATAGAGGTATACAAGACTCCCGCCGCCTCCCGCACCTGTGCTCCGCCTCCTTCCCTCCCTCCCTACCAGGTAATCCTAACCCCAGGGGATTTACGAGTGTGGGATTAATGATAGGAGGGGAAGTATACAGTAGTGTCCCACCCCGGGGGATTTTGTTAGTGGGGATTTTGATGTGTTTCATGCTTAATAAATGTCTTTGTTACCTGTAAGCTCACAAGATTGACGGTCAGGACTCTGTTGACAAGTACTGGTCATGTACGGGCTAACGGGTGTACAGTATACCAGGACCTGCGCCAGTTATGGTGTTAAATGACCCCACACCTGGTGCCGTCACATCTTCTGGCAGGTTATTACAAATTTCCCGTTTTCTATGATAATCTACTTCGCAAAATTAGGTAATATTTG